CCTGACTGAGCGCTGAGCCTTTTAGCCTCGATTAATCACGGACTGCTACTGTGGCTTGGTCTTGAGTTTTCAACACGATGGTCCCAGAGGCGTCGACGAGAACTGCGCTGCGTCGCAATTCTGAGCGCGACGAGGACCCTCTCAATCGGGCCCTCGCTCCTCCAGAAGGTAAGCAGTTGCCAGTATTGACTTTGCCATGTATGCGTGTCTGATTCAGTGCAGGAGAGACGCAGGAGGAGGCTGAAGTTCGTATCCTGCAGGAAAAAGCGGCACTGAAGATCAGCGAGGACATTGACCGTACCCTTCGCCTCGAATTGCAGGCTGCCAAGAAGCACAGATGCGTGAAGGTGCTGCTGTTAGGACAGAGCGAGTCTGGTGCGTACATTTCACGTCTTCTTCGTCGTGTTATAATCTCACCGGCTACTAGGCAAGAGTACCGTTTTGAAAAGTGTGTAATAGTGGCCTCACGGTAACAAGCTCGTCTCTCACTGACGTATACGCTCAGATTTCCAGCGTAAATACGATCCATCTGCGTTCGACCGTGAACGAGCAGTATGGCGCTCCGTCTGCCAACTCAACATTGTCCGCTCTTTTGGCCTCATCCTCGATGTTATAAACCATGTCTTCGACGAACAAAGCCAGCTATATCAAACCCGGCCTCTCACACCACCCATGTCGCCCAGTGAAGCAGACGCCGATCCTGTCTCAGCAGCACCCCCCCGCCAGAGATCCACCACGCTGACCCCAGAGCACCGCCGCCTCACCATGCGTCTAGCCCCCCTGCGCCAAATCGAGCATGCCCTTACTAGGCGGTTCAGATCACCCTCCGCACCGCTCTCTCCGCCACATTCTCCGCTCTCAGAATCTCTATCACACCAGGAACTGTACGTCAGCGGCTATGTGTGGCAGCGCACTCGCGAACACCGTCACAGTCTCGATCCGGATTTACAAGAGAGCTTTGAGGACGAGGACGAGGGGCTCAGCCGTGTGCTGTGCGCTTGTCGCGATGATATGGTCGCGCTTTGGAATGATGCGCTCGTTCGGAAAATTCTGAAGGAGCGACGAGTGGGAATGGAAGAATTGAGTAGCTTGTCAGTGGGGTTATGTCTGTTTTGACGTCGCGTCGCGTGTTTTGATTTCATTCACAGTTTTCTTGATGAGCTGGAGCGCATTGCTGTTCCCGATTACGAACCTACGGATGGTATATTGTATGCTGCTTGTCCCTATCTGCAGTTCTCACCGTTTCTTTAGATGATATTCTTCGCGCGCGGCTCAAAACACTTGGTGCCACTGAGCATCGGTTCACCGTCCGTCAAAGTACCTGTACCTCATCTTAGACCGCTGTAGATTTATTAATTGACTACGCAGGGATAATAGGCACCGAGACTCTTGGAGCGTGTGATTTCCGTATTTACGATGTTGGGGGATCGGTGAGTTGTTTTACTTATATTCCGTTTAGCTGTGATTTCTTACCCGAATATAGAGAAGTCAAGTGTGTCAATGCGCAGATTTTTTTTAAATGATGATACATCTAATTGATTTGCTTTAAGCGGCCTATTTGGATGCCCTTTTTCGACGATGGTATGTACTCGTCAGAGCTTTGCTTCAAAAAATCATCACGCACCTACATCTTAAAACTCTTTGAACTCTGTCGTGTATTCACAGACGTTGCTAACACTCCGTTTGTTTGTTTCAGTCAACGCAATAGTTTTCCTGGCTCCAATGAGTGCATTCGATCAGACACTTGCTGAAGCACCCGATGTAAATCGCTTGGTACGGGGAAATATTACCCTCTCTTCTATATCCCACTGACATGCCGCGCTCGAGCAGGAAGATACATTCCTCCTATGGAAAACCCTCTGCTCATCCAAACTTCTCGAAAAAGTCTCCCTTGTTTTGCTACTCAATAAACAAGACATCCTTCAACGGAAACTTGAATCTGGGATTCGCTTCGGGCGCTATGTGAAGAGTTATAGTGGGAATAACCAATGGGAGGCTGTCGCCAAATGTGTGTGAAAGTGAATGTATTCACGTGCATTCACTTCTTATTTTCTTTCCTGTCGTCGGCGGTGCTGATGTGATTTCGATGGCTACCCAGATCTGAAGACAAAATTCAAGGCGGTTCAGCGTGAGCTCTCACCAACGCCTCGGCTATTCTACGCGCACGTTACATGTGCAACAGTACGTTTCATTTATCAATATCCCTCTTCACTGCATACCATGCCCACCGCCCATGTTTCCAGGACAAAAAGCAGATGACAATAATCCTCGCAGCCAGTACGCCTCTTCTTTTTTGCACCCACTGGCTTGACTGATTGGCTTCCCGCAGTTGAAGATCTTGTATTGCGACGAAATCTGGAGGATATTAGTCTCTTGTAATAGTTTCCCGCACGCTCGCCCACATCAACCAGTGTTATGCCCCTTTTTTGGCTAGCATAGGCGTGTTTGTATTTTTTTGCTGACACACACAATATCATCAAGGACATATTTATTCACTACTTCTCGTGGACACCCTTGTCTCTGTCTCGATTACCATACTCACACACGTTAGATGGGTTATCTTTTGATGATGATATATTGTATCGCTATCAGAATTAATGTTGTTCGAGTTTTAAGTTCTTGTAAATTTATATACGATGCCGGGGACCGGTTTGCCTCAGATCTATTGAATTGTCTGGTTGAATGGGCGTGCCATGATGCATCGAATAAAGGTAGGGGCTGTAGTCAAGGGTGCGAACTTTTGCAGCAAGGAAAGTTTAAGTTCGAGTTCGAAGTCCACGACTAGTCTGGCAAGCGCATGAAGCTTCAGTCAACCGAACTTGACATTCCAGAAACTATTTTCAGAGAACCATTGGAGAGCCATATAAAGAAATGGCTACCTCCCCCATGCTATCTTATAATAACTGGCTTTACCCATGTCAGTCCATATCATCAACTAGTTCGTGTCCGTTTCCATGGTTTCTGTGCAAGTCAACGGAATTAGAGAAGTGGCAGTTAATGTACAAGGAAGGCGCCTGTGACAGATTAACATGCACTTTTCGGGAACAGTTGTTACCTGCTATGTGAATATAGAATTTTGACGGGGGATCTAGTTCCAAAAAAGGAAATATATGCCTTGATTCGGCCCGACGAACGTCTTCTTCACTGGCACATGCGCACGATTCAGAACCACCGCATCTTTTGCATCAGGTGTCACCGCAATGGAATAACCATGCACTACTACCTGTCCCGCGGTGGTAGGGAGCGAGGATTCCCGGGATGCAATCAAGATGGACGACGGAAACCTATATCATCGGCATCTCCTCAAATGCACCCATGCCAAAGCGGAAGAATCCAACGGTCCCACTATCGACGACTCCGATGATGATCGTCTTTTTGCCTCCCTTAAGTACAGCAAACGGGTGCGGCTTTCGTGTTGGTGGGCCCTTCTCGCTTTTATCAGGCTTGCGACCGACGAGCCACGAAAAGAGACGGGAAATCGTAGTGGGAGAATGAGATTGCGCAGGTGCAGGTCGCGCAGTCTCGAGTTTTGGTGGTGCTTTGGCAGGATTGCGCTGACGAGGAACTGGAGGGCCACTTTCAGGAAGAAAAGACCAGAGATGTGTGAGTTCGTGCAAGGAGGGCAGGGGTGTGGTTCGTGCACTGAGAGAAAGATTATGACTCGAGGAAATTAGACGGGAGGATGAGGGAATTACTTAACGACGACTACAGAGAAATCGGGCGGCGGCGGTGCACTTTTTCGAAACGGAGTGGTTGGCTTGTACACATTGTAGAAAATCTCATAGGGGGTAGATTTCGGAGGAGAGTGGACGGGGGGGTGAAGGGGAATTTTGTGTCCTGAAGGGATGATGCGTAGGGCGCGGTACACGGAGGCTGGCAAAAAGATGGTAAGCCTACCCCTTACACAAAAATATTACATACCATAATCGCGCGCACAACCGAGCCATCCGAAATGGAGGGGTCTCCACCAGTCAATTGTACCAAACAGCCAGGATCTGAGTCGCGAGAGTAATTTCAAAAATGGATTAAAAAATCGGATCAATGGATGCGGCTGTCTTGATTGAAGTACAGTTGCCGCGGCAGGATACGATGGGGTTGGAGGGTTGGCTCGAAGAACATTGAATCCAAGTCGTTTTAGATATGCGTACGTCTTGATTTATTGATCCCCGTTGTAACTTAAGAATTGGAAGAAACACGGCGAACTCACATGATAACGGTCTAAAGTTAAGTCGTCTCGTCCAATCATCTCGATATACGCCTGTTGTACGCTCATTGGCGACCCACGAAGCTCGTGTTCATCATGCTCTTTTATTTCGTTGCGGTGGGGAAGTGCGTTTGGCTCATCCTTCCAGCAGAACATACTGCCTCGCTCAACAAGGTATAACGTCTCCTCCGGTAGCAGCTCAGTTCGCTTGTGCACTTTTCCCCCGCCCTCGTTTGGAGCAGGACGCGCTACGGAATGCCCTATGCCATTGAAAAGGACACCTCGCATCTGCGTCACATGCGCCCTCGCCAACTCAGGGTACCAGACTGCATAGCTCACGGACTTGCTACATGACCCGGATGAGTCTCACAATGGCTCCTGAGATCTTTGAGCACGTACTTAGAGATCTCCCTTTCGCCTTTCAGTGCGCTGAACATGGCGTCTCTTGCGCGGTTCAGCGAGTGTGCCTGCAAATTCGTAGGTCCATTAGCTGCAGGCTCGAACTCCTTGTCGCCACGTTTTGGGAGCGATGGTCTGGACGACGACGAAGCAAACGACCTATGCGATGTTAGGATGTAGGGTTAGGAGAATCAGCGGTCTTACTTGATTTTGGTCCAGTCAGGACCTTCATCTTCTTCGCCTGAGACTTCATTGTCCTCCTCCTGCTGACGTTGGGGGTCTGCCGATGGTCGTTCGAGAGCGTCGTCCATCGTTAGTATTGAGTCATGGGATGGAAAGCGCTCAGGTCGTAGCTCTAACTATGTTTGATGTAATCGTTATCTGTCTATACATTCAAGGCGCGATAGCTCAGCTGGGAGAGCGACAGACTGAAGTCACAGTTCGGTTATCTGCAGGTCCCCGGTTCAATCCCGGGTCGTGCCATTCTTTTGCAATTTTTCCATTTTGGCCCTTATGTCACCACCGTATTTATCATCCGCTTATAAACCATCTGCTACTTCCCTCAGACTGTTACTACCGCAGCTCATAGATGGATGTTGGTTATCTGTCAGGAAGTATAACAATAACTTTTCAAACAATTGTTTGCCGTAGAATATTCAGATCTGACTGTTCTGTACACTAAAGTCGTCTTACTGGTATTCCTCGCTTGTGGTATTGGTCATTTCTCTGAACAGACACCTTCGCTTCCACATCAGCAGTCGGCTTTCTAAGGCATCCTTCGTGAATCGTGAGTTCCAGTAACACTATAACAAGACTGTGTGGTTGCTTGAACACGGACTCCATGTCGTTTATATGGTTTTCAACAGAGTCTCGATATTATATGCTCCGCGACATGGTGTTGATACGATTCCAGGAGGGGGTATTTAACTTTTAACATAACGTGAGAAAGACAGCGCCTAAGCAAATTATCATGCAGCCGAAACGAAGATCCACGTCTAAGGAGGTCGGTAACAGTCATGCCATCAGAAGTAACTCACCAGGGTACTGCAAGCACCTGAACCTCATTTTTACAAGAACTGCATGTCAATGAGGGAACGTCTGCATTCGCCTGTGCAGAGGATGCTTCCATATTGCAGGGGCAACGCGATACCGTGTCAGACATTTATTAGCTTGTACCACAAGCGCTTCGTGATAGTAGTCTCCGGGGTTGAAGAAATTTAACCGACCCGCCATCTCTTTCCTCACGCTCTTCCGGATCAGATGCAACGTCGAAAGAGGTCGGATGTAGCAGCGAAGGAGAAATGCCTGTATCAGCGCATGCAGTCATTACGAGAAGACTGAGGGACGTCAGTGTCGTGTAAGAAGCTCAAGTGACCCGATCGCGAGTCGAGTCGGTTCGAGAATATTTGGAACAGTTCTCGGAATAGAAATGACGATGAAAAGCGGAAATGGAGAGTGTCACTACCGCAGGGGTGAGGCACCACATACATACACCATGTGTGAAATATCAGGTGGTGTCTGGTGCAACAAATATTCGGTCAGATGAAATGTTAAGGTGACGAGAACGGGATGAATACGAACAAATATACTGCGAATACTTTGTGTCTTAGCATTGGTTCATGACTGACAAGAATGAAGCGAAAGTTACCAGTGGCCGCGATGACACGGATTATTCTGCCCATGTGCTGTTGAGTTTATAGACGCGTGTTGCGAACAAGTAACTCCATCGTTGTCTTCAGGCTTCCGTGGGAATTGTCGACCAATGTTTGGGACACGAGCAGAGAGATTTCGAAGGTTTTATGTCTCTATGTAGTCATAAATGTGATCCTAAATACAATGCTGAGGTCTGTTAAAGAACTGGACGCACATTTGAAACGACTAGCTTTCACTGTAGCTTCTCTTGAATTCCTGAATATGGAAAGCAGGTCCCACGGCTCACAGATAAGGCCGCTAGATATAGACCAGGCGGTGTTGCAGATACAGATATCCCGATGCAAGGACCCGACCATGAGTCAATTCGAGTCAGACGGTCAGCAAACAATGAGCAACCGCGGCGCGTCCAATCACGTGACATGTTCGGAGGTTGTGTTTGGCACTGTTTGACTGAAGAAATGAAAGTCGCGTCTTATAAATGAACGCGTCTGGTGTTTCGTGTCCTGCCACCAACCACCACGTCGCCTCATCCCTTACTTCCCCATCCTCATCCACTTTCGCCCTTTCACGGTTCAATGGCTTTTGTCTATAAACGCGGTACGTATTATCAGTACCAACTGAAGAAGGACTAGTAATTTACTTGACGCGTCTTTCTTGCGGACCATCTACTGTAGACGGGTGGGTGCCAACGCGTCTCATTGTCTTATTACGTTCATACTGACGCGTCTTTCATGTCTCTGTTAGACGGGCAAGTTTTTTTCACGTCCATGTGTCGTAAATCACCCATCGTACTGACCTCTTTTTGAGCAGAAAGAACGCGTAGCCTTTGACAAGGTTTGTTTGACGCGTCGTCTTCAACTCTACCCACTCACATCTGCTCTTAGATCACGTCCAGAATAAGCAAGGTCCGTATCAAGTCGTGTCTCATCTTGCGTTAGTGCTAACCCCCTCACCTAGTTATGCTATGGGCTCGACACGGATCACCTGGACCCTATTGAGTATGTGACGCGATGTTATTACCACTCTGACGTGTATCTGCTTGCTAATTCTGTCTTGCATAGGATCACCAAGAAAGTCATCTCCGGCGTCTACCAAGGCGTTACCACAGTCGAACTCGATGTGAGTATATGTTTCCACTTAGTCACTTTGTGCTGATAGTTTTCATAAAGAATTTAGCGGCTGAGACAGCGGCGTACCTTACTACCTCTCATCCCGACTATGCAGTTCTTGCAGCACGAATCGCTATATCCAACTTACACAAAGAGACGAAGAAGAGGTTCAGCGAGGTAGTCGAGGATCTTTACAACTACGGTAAGTTTGTTTGTACTCAGCTCTGGACCTTTATCGACATCTCATCATATATTCTAGTGAACCCTAAGAATAACAAGCCGGCAAGCATGATATCGCAACTAACATACGATGTTGTTCGTACCAATGCCGAACTACTTGATTCTGCCATTGTTTACAATCGCGACTTTGATTACAACTTGTGAGCGGTTCACCTTTTCTCGTGATTCTTGCTCACATGCATTAACTCAGTTTCGGATTCAAAACCCTTGAACGATCATATCTGCTTCGAATCAATGGTCGCGTTGCCGAGCGTCCGCAGCACATGCTTATGCGGGTTGCTGTCGGCATCCATGGTCATGATATCGAGCGTGCCATTGAGACATATCACCTCATGAGCCAGCGCTTCTTCACTCATGCCAGTCCCACTCTGTTCAATGCTGGTACACCAAACTCGCAGCTCTCGTCATGCTTCCTCGTCACTATGCGTGAGGACTCTATCGAAGGCATCTATGATACCCTCAAAACATGCGCGATGATTTCCAAGACAGCCGGAGGAATTGGATTGAATATCCATTGCATTCGAGCCACTGGGTACGCTTATGCTGCTGATATTCCTTCTCAGTATATTGAACATGTGTTATAGTTCATATATCGCTGGGACCAACGGTTACTCGAACGGCATTGTACCGATGCTTCGCGCATATGATGCAACCGCACGCTATGTCGACCAAGGTGGAAACAAGCGTCCCGGTGCTTTTGCCATCTACATCGAGCCATGGCACGCCGATGTCTTCGACTTTCTTGATCTGAGAAAAAATCATGGCAAGGAAGAAGCCAGAGCGAGAGACTTGTTCTATGCTCTTTGGATTCCCGATCTATTGTATGCTCTTTACCATGGTCTTTGTTATCCATTTCTGATTTGTCTGCAGCATGAACCGCGTGGAGCAAGGAGGAAAGTGGTCGTTGTTTTGCCCTAATGAAGCGCCGGGTTTGCATGAGGTGCATGGGGATGAGTTTGTGACGTTATATGAACAGTACGAACGCGAAGGCAGGGCTAGAAAGACGATCGATGCTCAAAAGCTGTGGTATGCTATTCTGGAATCGCAGGTTGAGACCGGCGGTCCCTTTATGTTGTACAAGGATGCAGCCAATGGTGCGTGATTCTCTTGACTATATGCGTTAATCTAACTATCACGTACGCAGCCAAATCTAACCAGCAGAACTTGGGTACCATCAAGTCCTCCAACCTTTGCACAGAAATCATTGAGTACTCCTCGCCTGATGAGGTCGCTGTATGCAACCTCGCCTCTATCGCTCTCCCTAGCTTCATCGACTCCAAGTCTGGAATATACGACTTCCAAAAGCTACATGACGTCGTCAAGGTTGTCGCGTTCAACCTCAACCGCATTATCGACGTCAACTACTACCCGGTCCCTGAGGCTCGTCGCTCCAACATGCGTCACCGCCCCATCGGCGTCGGTGTCCAGGGTCTCGCGGATACCTTCATGGCGTTGCGTATGCCTTTCGAATCTGTGGAGGCCAAAAAGCTTAACATCCAGATCTTTGAGACTATCTACCATGCCGCTGTCGAGGCTAGTGTGGACATGGCAGAGACGGATGGTCCATACGAAACCTTCAAAGGCAGTCCGGCGAGCGAGGGCAAGCTTCAATTTGATCTGTGGGGTGTAACACCGACAGGATTATGGGAGTGGGATGAGCTCAAGGAGCGGATTCAGCGCGTGGGCATGAGGAACTCGCTGCTATGTGCCCCGATGCCTACCGCATCGACGAGCCAGATTTTAGGTTTCAATGAATGCTTTGAGCCCTACACTAGGTATGTGTTTCGCGGATTGGTGGATAGTGCTGTGTTGATGATGATCGATTAGCAATATCTATACACGCCGTGTCCTTGCCGGCGAGTTCCAAATTGTGTGCCCATGGTTGCTCAAGGAGCTCGTTGAGCTCAAGCTATGGAATGATGACATGAAGAATCAGATCATCGCCCATAACGGTGGGTGCCGTTGCAAGGATATTCTGTTTAGTCACTGATGTCTGCTTCTAGGATCCATCCAAAACATTCCGACCATCCCCGATGACGTTAAGGCTATCTACAAGACTGTCTGGGAGATTAGCCAGAAGAAAGTACTAGACCTGGCCGCGGACCGAGGCGCGTACATTTGCCAAAGTCAGAGTTTGAACGTACACTTGGCGAGTCCCACTATGGGTCAATTGGTAGGCCATGGCTTGCGTGTAAGGTACCTCCATACTGATGTTCCCGCGTTCAGACAAGTATGCACTTCTACGGATGGAAGAAAGGCCTCAAGACTGGCATGTAGTAAGTCTCCATTTGTTATGAACATCGATTTGTTGTCTGACACATCACTAGCTACTTGCGTACCCGACCAGCCGCTCAGGCCATCCAGTTCACAGTTGATCAAAGCTTCTTGAAAAAGAAAACGGAATCAACAATGCCGACGCCCTCTCCCTCACCTTCACCCGCAAAATCTGCTAAGGCCGAGCCCTCGACACCACATACTGTC